GAAAGAGCGAGCATGTTTGGTGTGACGGGGATTCAAAACCGCGACCCTCAGATTGCGAGTGGAGCGCCCTAACCACCTGACCATGCCGGGCCGGAAGTTCTTGTAAAAGTACTATTTCAAGATGGTGTCCAAGATGGCCGCAAGGTCGCCGGCAGTATATAAAATATATATATATATATGTGTGTGTGTTCTTTTTTTACTTTGAATGTGGAGAAATGCATTAGGATGGCTTATTATGTTGGCATATGATGGTGGTAGCGTTAAATTTGCAAGTTAATGTAAGAGGAATTAGAATAGGGGGCATTATGGAACCACAAAAATCATACAAGAGACGAAAGACCATCGAAACAGATTTTTTTTTTCGAAATGTGTGATTTCTCAGTTCAACAGAGAAGAAAATATGAATAATTTGACCGAAAGAGGCATGAAAACATTTATTGTTTTTCTTGAAAGCTGCAAAGGTGAAGTATACGACAGATTATGGGTACTGGTACAAGACAAAGCAGCGTTTCTTAGTAAAACACCAAAGTATCTTCGTTCTGTTTAATGTACAAAACAATAGTATAAACCATAAGGAAATACAACTGGGCTGAGAGAGCGAGTAATTGCATTTGTCATTTAAAACAAGTTAAACAGATGCTTCCCTACCTCGTCGCTGCAATGTGCTTACCTCTCTACCTGAAAGACACGGAAGATCTGCCTAACACACAACCCGATGTTCATGAATGTTTCTTAACTGGACAATTTACAGCGCATAATACTAGCGGACACTTCAGTGGAGTATGGACAAATTTTGCCTTATAGCACACTTACAATAATGAAGGGAAGACATGTTTGCTGAAAGGCATATCTCAAAACCCCTTGGCCATAGACAAGTTTATCTAAAATACTCCATCTATTGTCCAAATCTGTGAATGCAATGGTTAATATGAAGACGTATAAATCCAAACATCACAGGGAATAATCAAAAGTATCAAAAGAAAATTTGATTCTTGTCAAAAAGATTAAAGATACATTACAAGTAAAATGGTAGACCCATTCAGTAACTCTACACATCCTCAGAACTAGGTAAATATTGCTGCTGGTGTAAAATTTCCATCTTCTGGTCTGGCTCAAGTTAGAGAAAATGGAATAGCAGTACTTTAAAAAGCCTTAAGAAGCAGTCCAAAAAAAATACAAATCCCAAGTTATAAACATTCATTCAGAAAAACAACAACACCACAATGTCATCTGCAAGTGCTCTAACACAGATTTATCAAGATGGAATAGCTGTCACAAGAGCCTTATGTTTTATACAATATATATATATAGATGAGCTCACAAGAAATAAAGCGTTATCTCATGAATGGACCAAACAACAATAACACTTCGAGCTTTTATATGATGAAAGAAACAATATTGACTTTTGGTCACTTTGCTAACTCAAATACATGGGCCGTTACCACAGGAGCTACCACACTCAGATTTGCCAACCACATATTTAATTGATGTCATGGCATTTGAGCAAAAACTACCAACAATTGAGGGCAAAACGCTATGAACAGTTACCAATTTGCTATGTTGAAAATTTTTTATAGATCTATCCTACTTCTTCTAAGCACATTAACATGGTTGATGACCATTATATATATTTGCTCTGTCTGAAATTAAATTCTAGAGGCAGATGAGCGAGGACACAGAATTGGATTGAGTCAGTCCAAAAAATACGTACTATCAGATACAATTGAAATCTCTGAATTCAAAGAGTTGATGGAAAATCAAAACAACAAAACCTGATTTCTTATGTCAGCATAACAACATTATTCCTGAAGCAGTAACAATAATATTGGGAGGAGCATAACTAGACAGAAACAGAGAAGCGCAGACAACTCTTAAATCGTTGTCTTGTCAAAAACATGAATAAGTGATACCAGAATTATCGCTCATCTGGCATATTATCTAAAAAGTCTAGGACAGGGATTCTCAACTTTTCCTCCATCTTTAACCCCCTCGGCTTGATATATTTCTCCATTTAGCCCCTTACTTCCATACAAAAAATTCATAGCCATCATAAAGGGACAGAAAAACAAAAAGGTCAGAAAAAAATATTATTCAGGTTTTGCACAAAAATAGCAATATACATTCGTATCACCAAAAATAAAGAAAATAAAACATTCTTTTCTAAAGAAAAAAAATTATATAGTCCATTTTTATCACAAAAAATAAAACCAAACAGAAACACCAGAAACGTTATCAGTGGGAACACTGCTGATTCATTGAGTCAATCAGTTTGTTTATGCGAGGAGCTGTTGATGACAATGCTACTCTCATATCGTCATCGACTTTCAATCAGTTCCTGGCCTTTATCTTCATTGCTACTAAACTTGAGAACCCTGATTCACATAAGTATGTAGTGACAAAAGGAACAAGCACTTGGAAGGCAGGTTGAGTAAGGAGTGTGAATGAATATGCGAGTTTTACCCAAAAAATGAACACCAACCTTTTCAATTCTTCTCTAAGAGTAGCTGAGAATTGAAGATCAATCAGCTTTTCTATTGCTGGGTCATCATCTTTCATTTCTGACAGTTCAGTGGCAGAAGGTCTTATTATCCATCTCTCTGTTGGAATAATGTCTTTTGAAAAGTAGCCAGTGAAGTGATTCTTCAAGATTTTCAAATGTTCTGTGATGTCTTCATTTATCTCAGGTAACACTCCAGATCTTTCCTCATCCAAGTTTGGTAAATTTGCAAAGTTACTTTGGTGAACTCTCCGTGCCCATAAGTCCAGCTTTGTCTGCAATGCTGTCATCTTTTTACTTGCTTCAACAATGATTACTGACGTTCTGTGGAGTTGTTTGTTGACTTGTTTAAGATGGGTAAATATATCTGAGAGGTACCCCAAACAGGCGATGAACTTCGGATCAGCAAAGTCTTCACACAGCTTTGAATTCCGGTCACGAAGAAAAATCTCTAACTCAGTAAGGAGCTCAAGCACACGATTTAAAATAAGTCCACGAGAAAGCCACCTCACATCAGTATGCAGTAAAATAATGGAATGCTCAGAGCCCATCTCACCACAAAAAGCTTTGAACAAACGGTGATTCAAA